CAATAATACAACATCACCATTCCAACAAGTTTTCACCCTCATTCCAAATTAATCCCCTCCCAATTTATGATACAATTCAAAAGCTTAGCTCTGTCATTGCATCTCTTTCAGTTTCTTCTATTTCCTATTATTATAATGATATTTATATAATTGTAAACAAAAAGCAAAATTTCACTTGATCATTTGGTCATTAAAATTTGCCATGTTTTTGACACACGTCACTAACAAATGGTTTCTGCATATTATCATATATGTTTTCCCCCCTATCTCTCTGTGTTTGTATGGGTGAATGGCTTTGGGGCTGGTTCTATGATTCTATGATTTGATTCTATGATTTGTTCTGTTCCTACCTAGCCAATTAATAGCTCTGCTGGTTAAGACCCACTGCTATTTCTCACTTTTCCCATCCTAACTAAATATGATTTCAACTATGGAACCATATTTGTTTCCAAAGGATGAATAGACCCCCCCCCCCAAATATCATGAAATCACTAGTTGGAGTTAGGCAAACTGCTATTCGTGGGTTGCTGTGAGTTTTCTGAGCTGCATGGTCATGTTCCAGAAGCATTCTCCCCTGACGTTTCACCCACATCTATGGCAGGCATCCTCAGAGGTAGTGAGGTTTGTTGGAAACTAGGGAAGTTGGGTTTATATATCTGTGGAATGTCCAGGGTGGGAGAAAGAACTCTTGTCTGTTGGAGACAAGTGTGAATGTTGCAATTGCCACCTTGATTAGTGTTGAATGGCCTTGCAATTTCAAAGCCTGGCTAATTCCTGCCTAGGGGAATCCTTTATTGGGAAGTGTTACCTGGCACTGATTGTTTCATGTCCCTCCCAACAAAGGATTCCCCTATTTATTTTATTTATTTATTATTTACATCATTTTTACCCTGCTCTTCTCACCCCTGCAGGGGGACTCAGAGCAGCTCACAATGACAGTGATTTGATGTCGCAATACTTACAATTATAAAAGCAGAATAAAATCATACCATACATTAAAACAACATTAATTATTAATCATAAAAACATTTCCATCATAACAATTGCTGTCTGGTCCAATTCACTATTCAGGTGCTGTTACAGCCAATAGCCAAAAGCCACATCCTCAGTTTTCTTCTGAAATAAAGGAGGGAGGGTGCTGATCTAATTTTGCTGGGGAGCGAATTCCACAGGCAGGGGGTCACCACCGAGAAGGCCATGTCCCTTGTCCCCACCAGCCGCATTTGCAGATCTTAAAATACGAGGTGGCATGTAGAGGGAGATACATTCGGACAAGTAAGCTGGGCCGGAGTTGTATAGGGCTTTATAGGCCAAGACTAGCACTTCCCTAGGCAGGGATCAGCCAGTCTTTGAAGCAGCAAGGCCATTCAGTTCTATTCAAAGGGCCAATTGCAACATTCACACTTGTCTCCAACAGACAAAAGTTCTTTCTCCCACCCTGGACATTCCACAGATATATAAAACTCACTAGTTTCCAACTGACCTCACAAACTCTGAGGATGCCTGCCATAGATGTGGGGTGAAATGTCAGGAGGGCATGCTTCTGCAACATGGCCAGACAGCCTGGAAAACTCACAGCAACCCAGTGATTCTGGCTATGAAAGCCTTCAACAACAAATTGTTATTCATTTGCAATAGAGATAGTGTCATTGCAACTGCTGGGTGTCTCAGCCTCTTGTTTTACCAGCAAAGGAGCTGTCCAGTTGATCAGGATAAGGGCTGCCAACCAGAGATGTCCACTGCTTAAGATGGTTAATCAGTAACAACTAAGCTTTCACAAGATGGCTTTATAAATAACACTGGCTTTATCTACACTATCCATTTAATGCAGTTTCAACCCTGTACTGAAGAAAGTGATTTTGCTGACTAAATGATTACATAGGAAATCCTGGAAGTTTGAGGCTTGGAGGGTGATGACACAAACCACAGAGCACTGATGTGCATTAAGGGGTTTCTTTTAAACGCTTTCATTGGAATTTGTTATCTGGGATCTAGCTTTCAACTGCATTATGGCCAGTGTACTTACTTATTTTCTTAGGTGATCCCTCATTGTCCAAGTTAGATTGTCCCCCAAAGCCAGTGTCCTGGCAGTGGGTCTGTGGGTGACTGTGGAGCCCTATTCTTGACCTGCATCTTCTCCCACGGTGAGGGCATTGGTTTCCAGATGGAAGGCGGTCCCAGTCAGGGTTGGCTTGACATGCCTTCCTCTTGGCATGTTTCTCTCTTTCACCCTTCATTCGTGCCTCTTCAAATTTTACAGCACTGCTGGTCACAGCTGATCTCCAGCTGGATTGCTCAAGGGCCAGGGCTTCCCAGTTCTCAGTGTCTATGCCACAGTTTTAAAGGTTGGCTTTGAGCCCATCTTTAAATCTCTTTTCTTGTCCTCTAACAAGAAAAAGCAGAGTAGAGCAACTGCTTTCTGAGATGGTGGTTGGGCATCCAGACAATGTGGCCGGTCCAGCGGAGTTGATGACGGAGGACCATCACTTCAATGCTGGTGGTCTTTGCTTCTTCCAGCATGCTGACATTTGACCGCCTGTCTTCCTGAGAGATTTGCAGGATTTTTTGGAGGCAATGCTGATGGAATCGTTCTAGGAGTTGCATGTGACGTCTGTAGACTGTCCACATTTCACAGGCATATAGCAGGGTTGGGAAGGCTTTATAAACATGCACCTTGGTCTCCCTACGGATGCCCCAGTTCTCACACACTCTCTGCTTCATTTGGAAAATGCTGCACTCACAGAGCTCAGGCAGTGTTGTATTTCGGTGTCAATGTTAATTTTTGTGGAGAGGTGGCTGCCAAGCTAGCGGAAATGGTTAACATTTTCTAATGTTACACCATTAAACTGTATTTTTGGCATTGGAGAGGGATTGGCAGGTGACTGCTAGAAGAGCACTTTGGTTTTCTCATTGTTCAATGACAGGCCGAGCTTCTGTGAAGGTGTTTAGAGTGGCTTGTAGGTCTTCTTCTGAATGCGCACAGATGACATTGTCATCAGCATACTGGAGTTCTATAACAGATGTTTTGTAACCTTGGTTTTGGCTTTCAGTCTGCTGATGTTTAGTAGTTTGCCATCCATCCAATAGATTATTTCCACTCCGGTGGGAAGCTTCCCGTCAACAAGATGAAGTATCATAGCAATGAAGATGGACAATAAAGTTGGAGCAACAACACATCTCTGTTTGACACCTGATTCCACCTTAAATGGGTCACTTTGGGAGCCATTACTATCCAAGATGGTTGCCATCATGTCATCATGGAGGAGCCTCAGGATGTTCACAAATTTGTTAGGGCACCCAATTTTTTGGAGGATGGTCCAGAGAGTGCTGCGATTCACTGTGTCGAATGCCTTTGCAAGGTCAATGAATGCCATGTACAGAGGTTGATTTTGTTCCCTGCATTTTTCTTGGAGCTGTCGTGCAGTGAAGATCATGTCCACCGTTCCACATCCAATATAGTTGCATAGAATCTGTATGTCTGTATGTCCAATGCCATTCTTTGTCTAAATGTTTTTTTCTGATATACCCACTCACACTGGAAATTGCAATAAAAAGAAGCTATGCTTCAAAGTTATTGAAAAGTCATTCATGAGTTTCATCTATGCTGAGCTTGGAGATGGTTGAACAGAAGTTCTCCAAAGCCCTAGGTGCTCTTACTGCCTATTACAGGGAAAACCAGCTGATCCCTTATCCATCTAAAACACAGACATGTGCTTTTCACCTTAAGGACAGGCACGCATCCCGAGCTCTGAGGATTACCTGGGAAGGAATCCCTCTGGAGCACTGCAGCGCACCCAAATACCTGGGAGTCACTCTGTACCGTGCTCTGACCTACAAGAAGCACTGCCTGAATATCAAGCAAAAAGTGGGCGCTAGAAACAATACCATACAAAAGCTGACAGGCACAACCTGGGGATCACAGCCAGATACAGTTAAGACATCTGCCCTTGCACTATGCTACTTTGCTGCTGAGTATGCATGCCCAGTGTGGAACACATCTTACCACGCTAAAACAGTAGATGTGGCTCTTAATGAGACATGCCGCATTATCACGGGGTGTCTGCGCCCTACACCACGGGAGAAATTACACTGTCTAGCTGGTATTGCATCACCTGACATCCACTGGGAAGTAGCAACCAATACTGAAAGTACCAAGGCAGTGACATCTCTGGCCCACCCCGTTTGGGTATCAGCCAGCATGTCAACGACTTAAATCAAGAAATAATTTTCTAAGATCTACAGAGACACTCGCTGGAACACCTTAGTAAGCAAGAGTCCAAAAGTGGCAGGCTCAAACCCAGAGCCTCAATTAATGGGTTTGCGAGACTCCTTCCTGGGCACACAGAAAACTGGGTGACTTGGAAGGTGCTGGACAGACTGTGTTCTGGCACCAGGAGATGCAGAGCCAATCTTAAGAAATGGGGCCACAAAGTGGAATCCACAACATATGAGTGTGGAGAAGAGCAAATTACAGACCACCTGCTGCAATGCAGCCTGAGCCCCGCCACATGCACCATGGAGGACCTTCTTGCAGCAACACCAGAGGCACTCCAAGTGGCCAGATACTGGTCAAATGACATTTAATAGAATACCAAGTCTGCAAACTTTGTGTTTTGTTTGTTTGTTTGTTTGTTTTTTAATGCAATACAACTGTTTTAGTTCGCTCCTGACACGATAAATAAATTCATGACAAAGCAGCCTGAAGAAAGTAGGTGGCGATGGCAATGGCATCCCCTCCCATGGTAATTCTAACACCCCGGGTTAGAACAATGCAGCCGCTCTCAGCTCTTCCTTGGGAAGCGCGCCTTTGCGCCTTGGTGCCTTTCCCGATCCCTTGAGGACTAGCGGCTTGAAGAGGAGGCGCGGCTGCGGCAGAGGAGGCCCCGAAGGGGTTAAAGAAGGAGGAAAAGGAGGGAGGGAGAGGGAAGGGAGGGGCGGAGCTGCGCCAAAAAGCAAAGAACGGGAGGGAAGGGGGAGAGAGAGACAGAGAGAGAGAAGGAAGGAGGGAGGGAGAAAGAGAGAGAACGGGAGGCAGAAGGAGCCGCGGAACGGATTGCAGCCGGCTGCTGCTTGGCGAAGGAAGGCGAGGCGTCGGCAGGCAGCATCCTCATCATCCTCCTCCCGGAGGGGGTCCTCTTCCTTCCCCCGCTTTCGCGATGCCGCAGCCCCCTCCGGGAGGGGGTCGCCCCTCTTTCCCTGCGAGGCCGCCTTGGCGAGGACGACCCCGGCCCCTCCGATGAGAAAGATCCGCAGCCATAGCACCCCCTCCTCCTCTTCCTCTTCCTCCTCCTCCTCCTCCTCCTCCTCCGCAGGATGGTGCAGAAGTCGCGCAACGGCGGCGTGGGCTACCCGGGCGCCTCCTCGGGCGAGAAGAAGCTGAAGGTGGGCTTCGTGGGGCTGGACGCCGGCCCTCCGGACTCCACCCGCGACGGGGCGCTGCTCATCGCCGGCTCCGAGGCAGGCGAGGGCGGGGGGCGAGGCGGGCTGGGCGGAGGGGGCGGCGGAGGAGGGGGCTCCAAGCGGGGCTCCATCCTCAGCAAGCCCCGCTCCGCCGTCTCCGGAGGGAAGCCCCCCAAGAGGAACGCCTTCTACCGCAAGCTCCAGAATTTCCTCTACAACGTGCTGGAGAGGCCCCGCGGGTGGGCCTTCATCTACCACGCTTACGTGTGAGTAAGGGGGAGGGGGCTCCGGGGACTCACCGGCGGCCACAGGTCTCACCTGCACCCCCCGCGCCCTGGCCATCAAGGGGCCTTCCCCCCTCATTCATCTCCCCTTCTCCCCTGCAGAGCAAGAAGCCACTGCCATGCCTCAGTCTTCCATCCACAGAGCTAGAGTCACTCTACATCACACACTAGAGGGAAAAAATCCACTTAAAATCTGGTTTCTGCCTCCTGCAGAATTTTGGGGTCTGTAGTTTAGGGAGGAGCCTTTAACAGCTTCCCTAAACTAAAAACCCAAGAATTCTGCAGGAATCAGAAACCAGGATTTTAAGTGGATGTTTTCTCTACTGTGATGAGCCCCTCTATCCACCCTTCAGTCCCTTCAATTCATCCCTCTTCCCTTCTCTCATTCCCTCCTTTCTATTTTCTCCTTTTCTTCATCCCTTCCCCCTCTCAATTTCCGTCTCTCTTTCCTTCCTTCTCTCTATTCCTCCACCTGTCTTCATCACATTAGAGAAAAAATCCACTTAAAATCTGCTTTCTGCCTCTTGCAGAATTCTGGGATTTGTAGTTTAGGGAGGAGCCTTTAACAACCTCACTAAACTACAAACCCCAAAATTCTGCAGGAAATAGAAACCGGATTTGAAGTGGATTTTTTCTCTAGTGTGATGAACCACACTACTTACCCCTCAGTCACAGTTCATCCCTCTTCTTCTCTCATTCCCTCCTTCCTATTTTCCCCTTTTCTCCATTCCTTCCCCCTCTCAATTTCCATCTCTCTTTCCTTCCTTCTCTATATTCCTCCACCTGTCTTCATCACACTAGAGAAAAAAATCCACTTAAAATCTGGTTTCTGCCTCTTGCAGAATTCTGGGTTGTAGTTTAGGGAGGAGCCTTTTCACCCAAACTACAAACCCAAGAATTCCGCAGGAGGCAGAAACCAGATTTTAAGTGGATTTTTTCTCTAGTGTGATGAGCCCCTCTATCCACCCCTCGGTCCCTTCAATTCATCCCTCTTCCTCTTCTCTCATTCACTCCTTCCTATTTTCCCCCTTTTCTCCATCCCTTCCCCCTTCATCCTCTCAATCTCCATCTCTCTTTCCTTCCTTCTCTCTATTCCTCCACCTGTCTTCATCACATTAGAGAAAAAATCCACTAAAATCCAGTTACTGCCTCTTGCAGAATTCTGGGGTTTGTAGTTTAGGGAGGAGCCTTTAACAGTCTCACCAAACTACAAACCCCAGAATTCTGCAGGAGGCAGAAACCAGATTTTAAGTGGATTTTTTCTCTAGTGTGATGAACCCCTCTATCCACCCCTCGGTCCCTTCAATTCATCTCTCTTCCCCTTCTATCATTCCCTCCTTCCTATTTTCCACTTTTTCTCCATCCCTTCCCCCTTCATCCTCTCAATCCTCATCTCTCTTTCCTTCCTTCACTCCATCCTTCCACTTGTCTTCCACAAAATCAACTAAAATCCAGTTTCTGCCACTTGCAGAATTCTGGGGTTTGTAGTTTAGTGGGGCTGTTAAAAGCTCCTTCATAAACTATGAACTTTAGAATTCTGCAGGAGGCCAAAACCAGATTTTAAGTGGATTTTCTCTCTCTCGTGTGATAATAATAATAATAATAATAATAATAATAATAATAATAATAATAAAACTTTATTTGTCATCTGCCCTATCTCCCAGAAGGGACTCAGGATGGATTCCAACATAACAACGGTAACATTCAATATCTACATAAAACACACTATGCTCACATAAAATCCTAGAAAACCCCCACACATAAAGTAACATTAAAGCCTAACATCCAATTAAGACCTAACATCAGTAAATTAAACCTGACGTCAATAAATTAAACTACACATAATCAGACCAAATTCTATAATAACATACATCTAAACAAAACATCCACTTTAGTGTACAACAGCCGTGGTGTTGTACTCCAGGGCAGGAAGCACCTCTAGTAGTGGTTAAGTGTCCTTAACCACTACACTCCAGTCCAAGTTAAAACAGCAAAGCAGTTTATTGTAGATGATCTAAAAAGCAGTGCAACAAAAATAGTAGAAATGTCACAGTCTGCATGTAAAATAAAAGTCCATAAGATTCAAGGTACAAAAGTTGTTTCAAAATCCAGGACAACAAGACTTGCAGCGCAGGATACAAAAAGGCAGCATGAAAAGTCCCTCTCATCTCTCTAATATAGACATGAAATAATGCCATATTCCCTCAAAACCTGATAATTAATGACTTTTTCGCTAACAAGCGCTGTGACCTTCGCAAATTTTGCTGGGCGGCTCTTAGTTCACAAAACCTAAGTTTCCTATCTATCATTTCATCAGGTTCTCCACCTGGAATTTCATCCTCTGAGCTCATCTCAGCCTCTGACCTTGCTTCCTTAGCAAAAGGCTTCTTAATAATAATAATAATAATAATAATAATAATAATAATAATAATAATAATGATAATAATTTAATTTTTATACCCTGCCAACCATCTCCCCAAGGGGATTCGGGGTAGCTTACAAGGGACAAGCCCAAAAATTACAAATAGAATACAAGAATTAAAAACATCAGCTAAAATATAAAAACAATCTCAATTGTAGACAATATCAAACAATGGCTGAGAGATAACACAGCTGAGGTTCAGGCTCCATGAGTGCAATATATCTTGAAAGAAGCGCAGGGAAAGTGAAACAATCAAATAGACAGGGCTGGGAATAGTATCATCTAAAGTGTTGAGGTGGACGATAAGCAGGCCGAACGTTAAGTGCTGAACTTAAAGTAGGGGCAGGATCTTAACAACATCTGGGCCCCTTTCTGGAATGTGGCCTTCACCAGCTACTGGAGACAAAGATGGCTCAGTTTCAGGACTTAAAATCTCTTACAGGTTCACAGGCCCAGAAAACCCATTATCCTTAGTGACATTAGATACAGGCACAATCAAGGCTGAACTACAACACTCTGTTCCTTCATCCATCTTCTTTGCCCCCCTTCCTCTTCCACTCTTGCTTTCTTATCCCTCCATTCCTTTCTTCTCTATCTCTCTGTCCTCTACACTTCTTTTTCTCTTTTTCTGTATCTGCCATTCCTCTTCTTTTTTCCCTCAGGGCCCTTCCACGCAGCCCTATTACCCTGAATATCAAGACAGATAATTCACAATATCTGCTTTGAACTGGATTACCTGAGAGCCCTTCCATACTAGCCCTATATCCCAGGATCTGATCCAAGATTTTCTGCTTTAAACTGGAATATATGAGTCTGCACTGCCTGATAATCTGGGGTAAACAGAAAACCTGGGATCAGATCCTGGGATATAAGGCCTGTCTGGAAGGGCTCTGAGTCCACATGGCCATATAATCAAGTTCAAAGCAGATAATGTGGAGTTTTATTCAGCTGTGTGGAAGGGGATTTACACTTCTTTTCTTTCTATCCCTCTGCCCTTCCATCCCACTTCCTCTGTCCCTCCATTCTTCTATCCCTCTTCCTCTACCCCTCCATCCCTCTTTCCTCCTTTCTCCCTATCTTCCTCTTCTCTTTCCTTCTATTCCTCTGCCTCTCAATTCCTTTCCCCCTATCCTTCTCCACATCCCTTCTTTCTCTCTTTCCCTCCATCCCTATTTCCTTCTTTCTCTCTATTCTTCTGCCCTTCTATTCATTCATTCCTTTCTCTGTCTTTCCCTTCTAGTCTTCCTTGTCAATAACTCTGTCCTTTCTCCTTTTCTCTCTCTTCCTTCTCTGGGGAACCCAAGGGCTCTTTCCTGGTCTCGCCGCCTCCTTCCTTCCCTCTTATTGCCTTTGTACATTCATGCCATCTGTGCCTGGCGATGCTCAAGAGAGCTCTCTTTCGTCACCAGCATCCCTTTCTCCTTTGCATCCTTCCGGCTCCAGCTTGCCAGTCACCTATTTTAACCCCTTCCCTGCATCTTTCTCTCTGCCTCCACCATATTTGTCTATAGCATTCAACCTGCTCCATTCTGTCTCAAGCAGAGCAGACTTGGGAGCTGTCCTATCCCTCAGTTGCAAAATAATTGAGTAATGTCCATGTAATTTTGCCATTCCTCCCATGCACCCCCCGCCCTGCTTTTCTGCCTCTATGTTGACTTGTAGGTCAGCATTTTCTCTGAAAAATGTGACTGATTTTGGCCAGTCGGTGTGCATGAAAGGGACATGTGTGCATTAAGTGTTGATTCATAGCTTTCTGAAAAACAGACGTTGAGAGTGGATGTGCAAAAAATGGGTGTGAGAGACTCATTCTTTCCTTTACACATCATAAAAATGACTCATTCTTTCCCTTACACATAATAAAAGAATGCACCTGAGTGTCATCCATTGAGAATGACCAATGTCATGGTCAAAGCAATAACAATGAGCAATAATAATAATAATACACTTTTTTATATTCCGCTTTATCTCCCCAGAGGGACTCAGAGTGGATTACAATATGAGGCATATCAGGCAAACATATGAGGCAAACATTCAATGCCTTTTACACACAGTGAAGAACAACACAGACAGGTACTGGTCATTGACAGTAAATACACACACACACACATACATACACACACACACACACAAACCACAAACAAAAGTAAAGGCAAGCCAAGGGATCTCATGTTTTGGCCAATGCACAATTCACCTGCGGAACTACATGCCTCAGTATGGGATGGTGACAAACTACAAAAACAGAGAGATGCGGGGAGGGTGCTTTAATCTTAGCTGAAGGAGTGCAAATTGACTTTTTCAACCCTTTTTCATCTGTCCTCACCTAGCTGTGTGCTTCACAGTTCTAAGTGGACATTCTTCCTCAGCTTGATGTGAACGCAAGTCTTTTGGGACTATTATGTATATCTAGTAATTTTTCCATACTAGCCTGCCCTGTTTTGGGAAAAGGAGACATGCTTGTGGCAGACAGAAAACAGCTAGATAGTGTGATCTAAAGAAGACATTTTCAGGGCATTCGTGTTTGCTACGCTTGTGTATTCATCTCTTCTAGTAAAAAGACAGG